CCCCCATCCCTCATGGGGACCCCCCTTTCCCAGTGAGCCCCCCTCTGTCTCCCTCCTTCCCCCCACCCGCCGTGGGGCTGGCTGCCGTGTAGGCGTTTTCCCTGGGTTACCTGCCCGCCCTGCCTTCTTACCCTCACGCTGCTGCCTAAAGGACGATTTGCAATGTCAGGGCAGCTTTTCTTTCAATCACAAATTTTGGCTGCTGCGTGGTGTGTGACTGCTGGCTGCAAGCTGTAATTTTCTAAATATATATATTTTTCCTTTTTTTTTTTTTTTTCCTTTGCATTTGCAGGCAAGCAAACCAAAGAAAACGGCTTCTTGTCCTCCGTTCCTGTTCTCATTTGGGGATTTGATTTGCATCATCTCTGAGCCCATTAAAAAAAAAAAAAAAGAAAAGGCAAACCAAACCCACACAAAACATGTTGTGCGGAAGGACTTCCACTCCCTGGCTGTGCTATTAACGTTAGCAATCAGGAAGAGCCTTTGGGGGCTGCAGGATCTCGCTAGTCTGATGCTGCTGCTAAAGGTTTTGGTGCAGGGAGACAAAACTGCTGCCTCTTCCATCCACTGATCTCTTAACATCTGCATTTTGCTGCTGCCGTGCTCCAGCTCACACCCTCTCTCCATGGACTGATACTATTTTTTTTTCCTTTTTGTGGGGGGGGGAGGACAAGCGGAAAATAAAGGCAACACATTGAGAGGAGTGAAATTGCATTTATATCTCGTCTTCTGGTGGATCTGTTTTGAGGTTAATCTTTTTTGGAAAAGAAAACATGACGTCGCCAGCAAAATTCAAAAAGGATAAGGAGATCATAGCTGAATATGACACTCAAGTTAAAGGTAGGAATGGTTTTATTTTCGTCTCTTTTGCTACTGCAGTCCTGACTTGCAATTGTAGGAGTTTGCAGTAGATGTTTGGGTGGGGAAGGGGGAAATCATTTGCAGATTGCTTGGAATTTGCAGGGCTTTTTCGTAATACAATGCTGGATCAGGTTTGCAATGCTTTTTCTCGCCCCCATGGGGTACGTTCCTACTATTATGGTATTGCCATTTTAAGGTATCACGGTAAGGACTTTTTTATGGAATATAACAAATCTTTGAGTTCTGAGAGATCCATATTTTTGTGTCTGCCGTTCTAAAATACGGCTTTGCGTTTGAAATATGAGAGCCACTTAATTGCTTTTTAATCCTCCTCCTATCACGGGAATCTTAAAAATCTGTGTGGTGTCAGAAGAGCATATTTCCACTGATGGTAACAGGGACTGTGCTGAGGGTCCCTGTAAAGCTGTTTGTGCTAGAAAGTTCCATTATTCAGGGTTTTGCTCTTGGTGAGCCCATAATATTACTGCCTGTTTTTTCTTACTGTGCTCTTGAGTGTAACACCTTAAGGTTGCAGCGTGTGTGTGGGTATACATGCACATATATGCAGACATATATAAATGAATAAAACTAATGCCATCAGTGTTATTCCCATTGTCGTAAGGAAGGCAATAAAGAGTCAGAGGCATATTTGCAACGATCGTGCATGTCTTCTGCAGAATTCAGTTGGCTGGGTTTCAGGCTATCATGTGCCCTAGGTTAAAAAAAAAAGGGATGGTGAAATGTCTACTTAGCTTCTTATTTTTGTAAAGTTTTCAAGATAACGCCTATTTAAAAAAATAATTGTGGCTTGTGTATGGCTTGATGTATTGCTGTTAGGAAGTTATGAGATTTAGTGATTTATCTAATTGGTTAAAACTTGCTTGGTATGCTCATAGCAGGCAGGAAAGATGGCCTTCGGGCAGGGTTGATTGAGTTAAATCAATGCGATTTAAAAAATGTGATTTAAATCTGAGTAGGAAACCTAGATTAAAACTGACAATTAAAATATTGTTTTGCAATTATGTACTTAGTTATTTTTCCTACTGGGGGGGCTACTCACTGGTTGCAAATCATTAAAACATGTTCTTCTACAAGGTGGATGTCCTACACTGACCCTAATACTCTGTACCTACAAGTAGTTTTGACATTTATGTTAAAAATGCTTATCTGACCAAACATAAAGCTGGGTAGGAGTTTATTTTGAATTTTTTTTTTTTTTAATTTTGGGTTCTTAAAGTTAGAAATGGAGAATAGCATGTTTCTTTTTTACTAGTTTAGTTTCTATTCCTGTTTTCTATCTGTCTTTGATGGAAATGGGAATTGAAGTCAGTGTAAAATTAGAGGCTTGTATGTTCTTTCATTATTTACCCCATCAAAATGTGCGTGATATATATGAGTTTGTAGTCACAATATTTGTGAATTGGATGCAATAGTAGGAAACAAGGCTTTAGAATTAGTAAAGCACATCTTCTCACCTCTCAGTTCTTTCATGCATTAAAAAAGAAATCTGTCCTTTCCTTTTCAAAAAAACAGACCAATAAGAGTGGGTAAAATGGAAAGGAGCCTTCCCTGTGCGCAGAGACCATTACTGCCAAAATTCCGTTCACCTCTTCAGGTCCTTATGCAGGGACCTGTCAATTCAGCTGTAAATGTGGTCCCAAAAGGGAATTGTCATGGCATATAGATTTTTTTTGCTTTTTGCCTTATAAAGTGTTCCTATCTTAAATACGTGAGGTTAAGAAGAGTGGAACTGTGTCAATGGATCACGAGGAGCTGGGAGAAGGGGGTTTCCTTCCTGAATTAGTGGCAAGGACAGCTATGAGTTTGCCTTGGGATAGTCATCCCACTCACAGTTCAGCTTTCCCTGCGCTGGGGACTCCAGAAGTGGCTGATGGAAGGTGCTAATCCATCTCCTGCCCTTTCCTCGAGAAGGGAGGTGTAGATGGGCCAAACAGCTCAAAAATGCCCATGACAGCGCAGTAACGATCATCTGCCCCATCACCTCGTTTGTTCCAAAGTCGGGCAGGGAGCTTCCCTTCTCCACCTGACTTCAGCCCGTCATGAGCTGCTTTGACAATGCGGATCGTCATCCCTCTGCTTTTCGATATTGAGTTTGGGGGGAGATTTTGAAGTTACAAGCTCTTCTTAAAATGTCACGAAACTTGCTTTACGTCTCACAGATACCTTGGTTCTGAGTTGGATAGTGGTTTGGTTCTATAGGAAAACTCATGACCGGTACAACCTCTCGCCTCTCTAATTCCAGAGGTGTGCTGGTCTCTGACACAGTGGGAAGATGAGATGGTACTAAAGACATGCATAAACCCAAAAGTGTGGTGGTGCATAGTCATTAAACATACCATTACATAAATATTTTGGTGTCCTGATCAAATTCTGACTTTAGCTGTGGGAACGGCATAGAAATGGTGTTAACTCTGGTTACGGAGTATTTGGTATCTCTTCTCTTGTGTTGTGAAATGATGCCATGAAGCAGTCGCTGTGGGAGTGAGATGACTCAGGTGTTGGTGTGCTGCATAAATTGTAAGGTATCATCTGTTTCTCAGATGAGAAAACTCTGAGATTTTTTTTTTTTTACTGGCATTTAGAAACCTACAGCGTGTTTTTTTTTCTGCACTCCATTCTGGCTGTGTGTTGGGAAGTGTGTTTAGAGGCTTCATTTAAATCCATTAATCCACAAACATGTGCTTAAGCACTTTATTACTAATAGAATGATTGAGCTTTGTTTAAAAATTTAATAGTCTTAAGTTGTTTATCGAAAACTATTTAAAGAATAGTTGGGTTATGGTTAATAGATTATTGTTATGCAAAATTTTTGGTTTTCTGTTGCTGAATGAACTTGGTAATTTTTCTTGTAAAAGGTGTGTGTGGGTGACAGGGTGTTGATGAATGAAACTTTGTGTTCTCCCATGGCCCTGAGCTGTAGGTATTTTTTGTCTTCTTCCAACAGCCAGTTCTTTGCTTCTTTTGGGTTGGAGTTAGCTCTTTCCATGGTTTGTGCGTGCAGCTAATGGTGGGGGAGATCAACATTAGGATGAAATGAATTTCTGAAGATGAAGACTTTACCTCTCACACATCAGACTTTCTGTGCAGTGGCCAGGGGACACAGAGGGAGCAATATGTTTCTTCCTAATGACTTGTGCCATGTGGTTGAGGGCTTTGCAGTCTGGAGGTGCTGGTGCAGTGCATCCATCCTTGGAGGTTGTTCGAACCAGACTGGATACAGCCTTGGTCTGACCTTATAGCTGACCACCGGAGATTGGGCTGGATGACCTCCTGAGCTCCCCCCAACCTGAATTGTCCAGTGATCCTATGATCTGTAGTGTCTGGAGGTTCAATTACAAACTTGCTGTCTTCTGCAGAAGTGAATTAACCTGCTGAGGCGTGCAGTCGGGGTGGCTTTGCCCAACAACTGCATTGACCTTGAGTCTTTTGCATTTAGATGAAGGCGGCAAAGTCTGCCTTTCATTTGGTTGGGTGGCTGTGCCATCTGCGCTTGACTGTTTCGCGCTGTTGGTGAGGAGCGGAGAGGTTGCCAGTGTCAGTGGGCTCTTCTTGCAAGACTTGTTGAGAGTGCTTTTCTCTTTGAGAAAACTCTGAAATGGCTGCGTGTCATGCGGTAGGAATTCTCCTGACAAGATGACATGGGGTCAGCAGGGGAGGGAAGTGCCGCTTTGATAAGTTTTTGTACCATGTGCTCAGAAAGATTGAGTTCTGTGAAGCTGGAAAGTGAGATTCTGTGGTCTCCATATGGAGCCTTTGATATCTCAAGCTCATCCCCTTGTCTGGATTGTCTCTCCCAATTCCTTTGTGCAAGTTGCGGTAAAGCAGAGATAATTAATTTATGCTGTGCAGTGTGTTCCATGTGAGATTTGGATGCTGCCTATCTGTGCCCAACCAAGGACTGTCAGACTGTTTTTTGGTTTAATGCATTAAATTGGAGTGTACATTTGCTGAGGAAGGAAAAGCCAGTGATTTATCTCTTAATTCTTCTTTTCTTTCTCCTCATGTCCCACGAGAGCCTTATATTTAATTAGTTTGTATAAAGCTTCAGTAAATAGCTTCATGGTTTGGGCTACAGAAATTTAATACTGAAATTTTTTACACAGTGAGGGTTCATAAACCACTTCTGTCCTTGAGTAGTCTGTAGCAAAGGTTAAAATGCATCTCTTGCAGATCTTGCGGCACAGTCCAAAAAGCGCTAGGAATATGAAAAATAGATGAGGTAGTTTATAGCAGGAGCGGGCGCAGCGCAGAGGTGGCTGCGTGGTTATTTAGCTGAGTGCATCTTGAACTGAGAGAAAGTGCCTGGTAAGAAGAACCTTAGGCAAGCCTGCCAGCTGCTCTCAGATTCAGACTACTGTAATGTCTAAAACTTTCTTTTTAATCTCCCCCAAACTGCTGATAGATTTCAGATTAGTCCCTTTTTCTTCCCTGGGTTGAACAGCTGATAGTTGGTTTGAGCTAAGTGTGATCTTTTGCCTTAAATCCCGCATACAAATCTCGTGTGTACGCTACATTTTCTGAGTACCTTGAGTGATGGTCGGCAGTTTTTAATACTGGTAAACTCTTAGGAGTGGCACAGACCTCCTCTGTGTGACAGACTGCAGAAGTAGCCGTGCCTGGGTCAGCAGCTGCAGTGCTGGGGATGGGAAATGTGATGCTTTTGGTGGTGATTTGAAACAAAATTGGGATTCCTCTCAACTGCTGAAAGTTTTCTTGTTAATGCTGTACATGCAGCGGTTGTTGAGAAAGCAGCTATTTGTAGAGCTATCTTTTGATTTTTAGATCAATAAATTGAAATCACTGTAAATTATTCTGCTAAATCTGTGCACCGGGGGGGTTTCGCTACTGTTGATGTTACATAGGTATGATTTCTCTTTTGTGCATGTGTCCGTTCAACTCACCACATTGATCACTCCACACTATTGCTGCTTGCAGATCCTAGCACCACGTGCGTGTGC